TGCTGCCACCATGCTGCACGTCCTGCAGGTGAGGATCCTTTCACAACCCGGGCACTGAATGTGGCCCCGCTTACCCAGCCACCCCAAATTACGGCCATGCTGCAGACACGGCTAGGATGATTTTGCCAGCCCCGAGCGTGAAAATACAACAAATACTCCAGAGGTGAGAGGTGTCAGGAGACGATCAGCGAAAGCCGCGCTATGTGTTGCATCACAGCAGCAACACTTTGCATCCTCATTTTCTTGTTTTCTGCTCAGGCGGCCAATGTCGCCTTTTAACTTCGAAAGTGAGCTGTGGGCGGGAAAGCAGAGGTGACACAGAGGCACGGCTGCTCAGCGCAATCTCTAGAAAACTGCTGATTGCACTCATCCGCAGGGCAGGCAGGAGACAGATAATTTTAGAGCCGAGGTGGGAAGTTAGGAGGATGCTGACAGCAATGCGCCGTGGGCACCGCTCACGCTTTGCAGAAGCACACCAAGAGCTTCACCTCCATGCCATGGGGCTGTGAACAGCAACGCTGAGGCACATCGAGTCACCACGGGCAGGCTCTCGGCACAGCCCTGCACCCACCGATTCAAAGGATCTCCCCACCAAGTCACTTGGCTGCATGGCCAGGTTTTCGGAAGCGCTCAGCACCCCGGGGGCTTGCGCAGGTGCCTGCAGGGAGGCAACGAAACTGCTGAAAAGCTGGTTCTATGAGTGAAGGCTGCGCGCCTGGAAATCTGGCCCTAAGGGTGGCAAGACACATCTCTGAATAAAAGTTGCCCAGCATATCAACACCATTTTAATAAATACTAGAAGTAGTGAAACGATTTTTTAATAATGCTTTGACAATTAAAAAGCCTGACAGAAACAGAGATCGGAAATACTTTATCATCAACTCTTTGCAAAAGCATATTTTTCATTTCAGTAAAAGAAACATAGCAACTTTCCTTTTTCCATCTTGTTAAAATATTTCCTACACAAACTAGTCTGTCTTTGCTTAGTCAAATAGCACTACTTGTCTAAATAGAACTCATAGAAAAGCTTTTCTGTGTCCACGCTTCTTGTTACCAATATTCATTAAGATAACAGAAATCACAGAGACCATTCGCTCCTATCTGCAAAAAATAAGTTCTTGAACACGATTCCTCTGTTTTGATGTACCTACTTAAAAGAAATCTGAATAAACAGAGATCTAACCCTTATCATTCAGTGTGTTGTTTAAAGTCGTCTGAACTGCAGAACTCCTTCACCTTTCTTAGCAGATGAAAGCACAGGATTTGGAACCGCAGCATACATGTCTGATCGCCTGTGTGCTTCTTCAGCCTCTCCAGATTAATTTATACCTCAAATGCTACTGCTTACATCTAGTGATTTCAGAAGACTATTCCTCCTGTTTGAAATGCATATATGGGCGAATGGTGTAATAAATTCATAGAAGCAAAACGATACGCAGCCATAAACAAAAATGAAAAGCAAGCGCTTTTCTAGAGGGTAGGGTTCACCGATGCAGCGTTCACCAATGGTTTTCTGAAATGTTCTGCTGCACATAACAAAGCCACAGCGTGTGCCTGCACAGAGCTGCAGCAGTGGAGGGACTTGAAAAGCCAAATATCCAAGTGTCTGCTCACTGTGCTTTGCTCAGACTCCTGACTGCAGCATCCGGTCCTGTGGCTTCTCCTCACATTCTGATGGGATGTGGCAATGCAAAACGTATTACTACTTACCACGTGAGCTGCGGGAATTCACCTGTGCCAGAATGGTATGGAAACTACTTATATTTCTGTGCCAGGCATGCCTGGGGAGGAATCTCCAGAGCCTACAGCCTGCAGGTTCCAGGACAAAACTGATAAGCAATTGCCCAGCGATGTGCAATATTGAAGCAATACGAAAAATACAACATTATAGTAATTTCTGTACAATATAGGCTAATACAGGATTCGGGGACTGCTCAAATTCATCGGAACAGTAAATGAAAATTTCAGTTAAAAGTGGATTACAAGTACTTAGGTTTACAGTCTGCCCCAAGCCAAAGACTTAAGCAAGCCCGTTTTCCAGACCTTGGCTCTCATTTGTGAAGCCTCTACTTTCTGTTTTGTTTTCTTATTTAAACTTTTCATTCACAGAGCAGTAAGATTTTCCTTTTTACAGCACTTTTTTTCTTTCTGAGGCAGGAACTCGTCTTCAGCAAGTTAAGTCTCTGCTCTGCAAAACACCTGAGTTAACACAGAAGAAAAGTCCAACCCTGCCATATCTCCGCAGCACAGGAGCAGCCTTACAGTGGTGAAACCGCAACACTCTGCTGGAGAGGGCAGCTCTTGCGGGCTGCACATCACAGAGTGCTACTCCACGGAGATGCTACAGGACCATCCACGTGAGGTGGAGTGCGTGAGGCCACGTGTCCCTGGATCCACTGGCCGTTTTCTCCTAGGGAATGAGGAGAAACAGGAGCTACAGGAAAAAACCCTACTGCTCTGCAGTGGGGGTGGGAACCGCACAGGGAGTCCATGTCTCTCCCACTGGCTGCACCGTCTGCGCCTGCCTGCACCCACCTCAGGGGACAGGGCTCACGCAGGATTTAGGCTTTCGTCCACATGCGATATTTTGCTTTGGCACAGTCCAGGTGAGCTGTAAAATATATGTCTAATGTGCGTCATGTGGCTTTTAAAAGATCCCTCCTGCAGAACTACCTGCAAAATTATGGTAGGCACTGAACAGTTAGCATTTTGACTAGTCCTCAAGCACAGAGAGAGAAGCAGCTTGCAGGATACCATTTGATTTGTGTAAAACCACATCTTACACTTGATGATCACTCTGACATTTGCTTGTCAAAAACCTACACCTTCTAGGTTCGTGGGATTTGTGTAAACAAGAGATGAAGTACTACCTGGACCAAAACAGAGCTTAAATTCTTTACGTTTTTTCACACTGATCACACAGTGGTTATCGACTCAACTATTGTTTTCTTCATGAGCTCAACTTTGGTTTTCTGCAATGTCTTGAAAGATTAAAAATCTGTTGTGACTGAAAGCAAATAAAGCAGAACATCCTAAAAAGACTCCTAGAAATACAGCAGCGTAAATGACCGATTCAGTCGTTGTGCACGGTTTCTGAATACACAGTCAAAGTGATCGTACCTCTTTGGAAGGCATGACGGAAACAACCACCAGCAACGTAAGGGCAAAACCTTACAGCTACAACACAGGCGTAACAAAAACATACTATACTTTTAATTCTGGCGTTTGCGGAAGCACTTTCACTCTTACCACTGTTACGAGTTTGCAAAGAACATAAGATGTTTTTCAGTCACCTATATGCACACATACATATCTATTAAGAGAACGTGAGCGGAGAACCAAACAGGAATAGGGGGAAGGAATATTTACTATTAAATACCTGCCTCCTTTTCCCCTACTCTAGTGTTCTACTAGAACAGCAAACTAAACAATGTTTTCATGATGTTTTCAAGAATTACCATAATTAAGGATGTCTTTGCAGAAAAAAGCCTATGCTGATTCTCTGTTGCCTGCCACTAGGTAGCTATTCCCATCGCTTCACACAAAACGAAACACCAAATGATTCAAACTCAGAATGGGGTAGCATAAACCAACTTTGCAGCAGTGAATACTATTCCCACGGTTTAGAATAAAATGGTAAAAAATGGTGAAAATGGCTGGAGAAGAAAGATGGTGCTTAATAAACAGCAGTTAACAGCAGGCATGTATTTGAAATTCTCATGAGGGTAACTTGCATGGCAAGGCAATCAATACCTGTTGGCCTCTACAACAGATTTTTGTTGCTGAAAAGTGTTGTGCAAGAGCATAACAACTCTTTTTGTTTCCAATTTAAGAGATGAACAGTCTTTAAATGTACACAGACATACCCACTGGGGATGAAGTTTGCATAAGTAGGCTGATTCAGTGAAGCATAGCCACGCAGCACATATGCAATAAGCAGTCAGTTGCCCATGTCAGGTTCCCTATACTTTTATTTTAAATTTAAGTCCTGATTAAAGCCTGGAGTGAATGCAAGCTAACGAGGTGAAATTCCAAATGTTTATTTTATGGGACTTCACCTGCAAACAGCTGGCAGGTCTCTTCAAGTCATGTGACATGACTCCAGTATTGCTTTGTGGTAATTTCCCTCAGAAGGACCATTTTCACTGGGAAAGTCTACAAAAAAGCACGAACCTAATCATTTTTCTAATTCATCTTCCTTCCAAAAAACAACAACAACAAAACAACCACCCTTTTTTCCTACTTTCTCCAAAATAGTGTTCTCAGAAAAGAGCGATTTCAAATAAAACAAAAAAACCTGAATTTACTTGCTATTAAAATCTTCATACAAGCCTGCTTAGGATTCAGCTAGCATGAGTACTTTATTGCCACTTCACAGCCACCGACATAAGCTTCCAAAATAAATTAGCACACATGTTTCTGAACATTTCCTATACATGAAGGATTCTGTACAGAGCACTCTGATCTCCATCCACACTGTGCTCTTCATTGCTACCTAAGAGCATCATCAGCCTGGAGCACTGTTTTCACCCCGTGTGAGACAGCAAGGTGCAGGATGACACCTCCAGCTCAGAGCCCAGCATGCTTACAACGCTGTGGTGCAAATTCAGAAGTATTATTCAAATGCAACGTACCCTCTGGGGCCACAGAGTCAGACCAAGGGTTGACAGCAACTTAGCAGAGAGCCCAGCATGTTCACAATTTGTGGCTACACATATGAGTTTGTGCTGGGGCTCCTCAGCTGCCACAGGCAGAAAAACCTCTTGTTCCAACAGGTCTCTGATGCCAGTACAAAAGAAATTAATCTGCAGAGAAAGTTTCTTGTGTGGGCAGCAGACAGAAAGGCAGCTCTCGTGGTTTGAGCCTCACTCATTTTATAGCACCAGGTATACCTCCAAATCACTCAGGTTACTAAAGAATTATCAGAGCCATATATCCTTCTAAGCAATTATCACTCTCTCTCATTTTTACTAGCAGAGATAAGGAATATATTTTGTTACCATTAGCAGGAAGATAGGTGAAAAGCTGGTACTGGCTTCTCTTTCTCTTTCCGTTGCAGACATAGAAGTTGACCTGAACAGGGCTGGTAATTCTCTGATTGCGGAAAGGTGGTATCTCAACCACCAATGAATTCTGCAAAAGCAACAAACCAGAAAGTCAAGGCATGACTAAGGTAGTCGAGCTGTACAACAGTATTCACGTTAACGCTGAGAAGGTGGCGCCCCGGCTCACAAGGAGAAACATGGTCTCTACAGGGGAACTGGGGGCCTTCATGGGCAGGGATGGCCTCCCGCCACTCCCCGGATCCTCCGTGCCAAGCACTCCAGAAGCAGGGAAGTAAGATTTTGGCATGGCTCAAGTCTTTACAGAATCACTAGCCTTCACCTCTTCCCTTCAGACAGCAAATATGATACCACGTATGGACAAGGCTCTACCCCTCCTGCCTCTGACAAGAATCTGGGACCACAACCAAACTGCGGTCTCTCATTCAGCACAAGAAAGCACAACTGCTTGGCTGGAAGGCCATCCCCAGTATTTCTCACCCTAACACAACTTCCTTTGAAAGGAGAATTAGGACAGACATATGATTATTAAAATATTTCCGTTTTCCACAGTGAAATGTTTTTTCATATAACAACTCAGGAAGTTTTAAGCACGCTAGTTTCTGTGGATGGGAGATCTTGCAAGAACATCTAGTGCTGCAGGTAGAAGGGCTGGAGACCATGCAGATGATCTTCCACTGTCAGAAACCAAATGCTCCAGCATGGGGCTAAGGATCAATTTAGCTGCTAGGGCATCAGCTTACACAACTGTACAGTGAAATCTGCTATGACCATCAAAACCTCCCTTGGCACTTTTTGAAAGAATAAAAGTGAACACTCCTCAGCATTTGGCCTGCATTCAGCTGAGGTCTTTAAATTGTTTGCCTGCATGTCTCCAGCAGGTTTGCAGCTAACAAACTGTTGCATATTCCTCCAGAGGTGGAATAGTGGCAGTATTTCCCACTTACAGTCACGGCTGAGGGAGCCACACTTCTCCAGCCATGAGGCTGATCTCCTGTGAGGGGACTCACATTTCTTCAGCCAACAGTAGACAAAAGCCAAGGAAAATGATCAGAAATTGCTTTGGGAGCAGAGGGAAGAACTGACCCAGCAAGATACAAGATGAGCAGACAGGGTTGGCCCATCCTGGACAATGAAAAAATATTTTCCAAACAGTCTCTCCTACTTTCGGGATAGCTTCCAATGAAGGCTTTTTACCCCATGTTCCCGTCAAAGAAAGATTTCCAGGAGGGGAGGCCTAAGTACTTGTTCTGTTTCAGTAGGAAGACACAGTGCCAAAGCCTTGGAAATCCCTCTTTAGTAACAGTGCTGGAGAAGGCAATATATATTTTTCAGCTTGATGTTAAAATATTTAAGGTAGACTTACTGGCTTGAATATTTCTTTGTCGGTTTTGGCTTCCATTTCCCACACATGGTGACCATCTAAAAGACAAAAGAAAAAGATATCTAGTTCCATCCTTTTTTCCTCTCCCAAGCCTACAAAGGCATGATTTGTGCAAAAAAAAAAATCTGTGAAAGGGCACTGCCTACATGAAAACCAGGTCTCACAACGCACTGGCCAAGCGGTGCCCAACTGAGAGGCCATCTGCGTAACCTGCAACAGGAGTCCACTTCACTTTTTGGAGGGGGGAACCACAATCCAGAGTGCATGATACTGCGATGGGAGAGAGCCACGGGCAGTTTATTCTGCCCCTGGTTTGGGAAAAAAATGCAACTGTCCTACACCTTAGTTTCCCAAACTTTCAGATGAGAAGACTGCTACCTATGAGGCCTTTTGATCACTACCTATGCAGTAAGTCATATTCAGCATCAATATTAAACAAAACAATACTACATGTAGTATTAAGGTAGCTCCTCAGCCATGCAGTATTTCATTTTAACATACTCCTAGTCTGGATTGTCGTGATTCTGCTGGTTGGATCAATAGGCAAGGCCACAGGCTGGGAAGCGTAGCTTTCGACTCCATTTTAAAGTTGGTTTAGCTCAGCTACAGTGGTCCTACCTACAGTTTTCTGGAGCTGCTTCTAGCGGTGTGTTGGGTTCTCTTGATTTGCTGTATTTCTGTTTTCAACCAAACATAGATTTAAGCTATAGATATCACTTTTTCTGGGGACCCATCTTCTGGAAGAATTTTGGTTTTTCTGGTGATTTTTCCTGGGCCTCACTGATACAGAAGTCACTGGTCAGTAACAGGGTTATTTTTCTTCTTTGCGGCTTCAAAACTCAACAGCAGAGAAATTAGAAAAATAATACAAAACGTAAGGTTTCCATTCTGCAGGCCTAGAAAAACACAAAACGTGTACGAATAGCCACAGGCAGACTGCCGTCTAAGCTGGGCAGCGGGGACACATGCAGCTTCATGAGTCCCACCATTGTCAGATGTCACCGTAATGAAAGGGAAAATGAGACTTTATGTCATCTCTTTTGTATATTTATTGCAGCATCGGGACATGCAAATGCAAATGCAAATATTAGCTATTTTGAACTTCATCACATAGACGTGGGCCTGCCTGAGAAAAACAGCTCTCGGCAAGGTAAAAGAGTGAATACACTTTTTCTTCTCTCTTTGCTTTCACGGCCAGGATGGAGGTGACGCATTTAGAACTGCCTGATTTATTACAAATGTCTGTAAATAACATTTTTGTGTACAGCTGTCCTACTGCGAAAGGAATGCTGCTGAGGGACTAGCCCTGGCGATTGTTTTAACATCCAAAAAACCTTTTGTTTTTAACATATGGAAAGTAGCGCAATGTGAAAGCTGCAGCATGAATAGCACGGTGGATTTGGCAGGTCTTTCTGTAGGAAACAACTAGCAGATCTACCCTTCGCTTCTTCCTACATTTTAAACTGTGACGCTGGAGAAGGATTCCCTTTAACTGGTACTGCCACTTTCTGCTGCGGGTAGAGGAGCAGCCAGCCCGTGCTCGAGTCTCCCTGACGATGCCTTCCTAGTGCGCCAGACCTGAAGGAGACTTCTCGGGAGGACTCGGGAGGACTGGCGATCACTTTGCAATTTATCCAACAGATGCTTCCCCCGAGATGTCAGTAGAAAAAACCCGACCGAAATCTGGCAAGCCGGGACACATCCCTTGCCTGGGAGCAGCCCCCTTTATCTCCCACCCCCTCCCCACAGAGCCCCTGTAGCCCTACTTTTCCCTCCCCCCTGCAATTAATTCAGTCAATTGTAAAAGTAACACAACACTGACATTATCACACGTTTTGCAAAGTCTAGGAACTTCTGCTTTGTACGGGGTTTGTTGGTGGGGTTTTTGTAAGTCTACAGATGTCCAGTCTAGTAGTTAACATATGTTCAATTTGCCTTTGTAAACGGATTACCAGAAGTTCAGGTTTTTCGCTATGTTTAATTTCTGCTTTGCAAGACGAATGATCTGATTCTGGTTTCTGCTTTTTATTTCCTGCCGATACTTCAGTAAAATTCAAAATGACTCCATCTCTAGCTAATCTTTCAATTACTCCACGCAGCACTGCCTTTATTCGCTTTTGAAATTTTTATGATGACAAAGAGAGAGTTTGTTCAGACATATTTTAAATGCTGTAATCTAAACTATTAGGAAAATAAAAAATCCAGAGTCGTGGCTCATCTTTGGTACCTAATAAGAACAATATGGGTTTCGCTCCAAGAAATTCCCTTGAGACTGTCCAGACCATCGCAGCTCAGCGACTGAGGGGAAGGGGAAGAGAGAGAAGAAGTAGGGAATAGACAACTCATTAACAGCTAGTGACATTTCATTTAACAAAAACACAGGGAGGAAAAGTTGTTATGAAGCAGAGACCAAAAAAAAAAAAAAGACAATTCCTCATATTACGTCTGGTGAACCAAGAGGGAAATCTCAACGCCCACGGACTGGGACCAGCTCCAGGAGGGAAACCTTAGACCACTACGTCAACCTCTTACAGTAAACATGTTTTGCAGGTTTACACAGTTCAGCTGAAAATTTAAAAAAAAAAAAAAAAAAAAAAACGGGAAAGAGA